TGTATATATATCGATTTTTGTGGGTGTGTGGGTGTGGATGTGCGACTATTCGTGTGTTCATATATTGATTCACAAATTTAAACCGTCACTATATATAAATGAATTTAAATGCTATGCCTCTGTATATGCAAAAAAAATATGTTTATACGTTCGCATAGAGAACTCTTTGTTTTCGCAACTTCTGCGCTATCTGGTAGCTTCGCTGCAGTCTAACATTGGTGCATAACAATGTTTGTTTATGAATCAATTATTCAATACAGGAAGTTTGTGAGTGGGTTCAACACTTTAATATTAGAGGTTGCAGAGAGGGGCCAAATAGTCCGATATGGCCTCGCGTCGAGTCAGTCGAGCCAGATCAAAGCTCGGCTACTAGAGTGTATACGGGAAACAACTCACAACAGGGTCACCAACATAGCCACCCCAAAACAGACCGATAATATAATTGAGGGATTTTTCAACAAGCTACTGAATTGAGGCTATCTTGTCTGCCTACACCTACGCAAGCTTTAACGCCTTTAAGTACAAAAAAATTGCAACAATACTGGGAATATGATTCGTCGTAAAATAAAATATACGTACTCAAATGGACATGACAATTCTCAGATATAAAAACGTTATCGTGTCGTGCAATGTGAATTGTAAGCGGTGCAAGTTAGGCGTTGATATAGTATGCATACGGCTGCGACAGATCTCTACGCGTTAAATTTTCTGAGTACGTAAATAGACACCTGTACTCCTCTTTCCTTTCATTATCGTTTCTGATATCTAGACCTAGCAGACATATCTTTCACGTTGTCGTTCGGAAATGTTCATGACAACTCTTGCTTGCGCCGGGTATTTATGAATGGACGGGGCATACCTAGCATTTGTTGTGCAGGTGAGGTGCAGACTGTGCATACAACGTGTTACGAATGATACGTGTGACATCAATGGTGTACACATATTTGTGAGTAAGACCGATTGCACTCGACTACTACGGCAGGCGAACCGAACTTTCACATTCTCAAGCTCTTAAAAAACCGTATAATTCAGAAACCACCGACTTCTGTGGTCATCGAAGGCTACAGTTGGTACAGTAGTTCAAATTGTTCAAAAGATCTTTCTTTTATTTGATCTAGCGAGATTTCTTAGATCAAGATCTATCAGAACACTTTTAGACGCTGCGAGAAACTCAAGTCCCGTCAAGCGGCAACTGCATAGGGTGCACATAATAAAACAAAAGTTGTACTCTAACGTCGTTGAATATAAGTGTAAACAGTGGGTGGATACTTTACGTACTGTTCGATAAAGGATGCGCATTTATTTGGCGATGGAAAGGAAATTCACGTCGAGGAGGTATTTTATGGCGAGGTATGTATTCAACATAAAGTGCAGTCAGCTGTAGCTCGTGGTTGATATATTCCGTTGGAATTCAGCAGTGATATCACTTACATGATATCTTGAGCAACAACATCTTCGACAGCGTATGGCAGTAAGTCTTCACAGGGGGGTATCACCCATTCATGTACAAGCCCTTTTTGTTCCATGCTACTCGTGACTTGTCAGTAGCAGTCAGCAGATGACCTCCTAAAAGATAATTAGTCTAACTCTGTACTCTTCACTGCCGCTAGTCTGCAGTCTGTAACAATATTATTCGCACTGCGCACAACGAGATGATCATTTCGTGTTTTTAAAGAAATAAATAGAATAAGCAGTTGTATCAGCTCGACCAGAGAGTCAGAGACTGATAGAGTAATGTCGCATAGAGACAAAATAGTAGAGAGAGAGAGTAGAGAGGAGACTATTTTTATAAAAGTATTGTTATTTTTTTTAGTTCTTCATCGTATATTATGTATAGCTACCTTTTATAAAATATTCTTTAGGAGCCGTATGTAAATAGAATGAGAGATTTTGTCTCGGTTCTTGAACCAAACTCTCAGACAGACATCTTCGCAACAGCCAACAGCCTACTAAACAGCCAACAGGTCAAGGGGCCCGGGGGCGTGACCAACTTTTTTTTATCGATTCAACCCAAAGGGCATTGTTCATTTTTCTTCTTCTAAAATTCTGCAAATAGAACTATTGAATATTTCAACTCCATTGGTTCCCACTTCAGCAACGGCGAGAAATGTTTAGCGAGTGTCCAATCACAACAACTTACAGTGAAACTCGATAACAAAAAAAAATGACACCAACACCGGATCTAAATGGCTGATACTTAATACTTCATAGTTCATATCCTGATATATCACAACAATATTGATTTGTCCGTTGGTTCATTGTTGGAGGGTGTTAAGCAGTGAGAAACGCAACTATTTTGATATTAGAAACGATTTCCAAGAATGTAAAACGTGCATACTACACTTAACAAAAATTTCGTCCCGTGCATGTAGCGTGCTTTATATTAGAATTAACACTTAAGTCCCTCCCACATCAGGGTTGGACCACAATCCAGAAACTGTATTGATTTGTAGTTAGACAGCCTCATAGCTCAAATCATCCTCGCCATTCAGCTAAAAGCGCATTTGAGTGCACAAGACAGCTCACGCGCGGCAAGCAACAGCGTTTGCGAGTGTCGCGAATATGCCGTCAGACCAAGAAGTGCTGACACCTGCGCAGGTGCGTATGTTGCAGGTACAGCAACAACTAATTCAGTCACAGTTTCAAGAGCAAAATAAAAAGAAAGCGGAAGAAAGAGCAGCTCATGCGATCTCGGCATCTAGCAGCAACCAGGGTGATATGCATGGAAATGAAAGGGGTGACGGTCAGATTCTTGAGAATATTCCCGAGGATAGTGCATCTCATGCAGGACAGTCGCACAGCAACAATTTGGGTGAAGCACAAAGCACGGGGTTGAGTCAAAAAAATTTGGCGGCATTACCAAGTACAAAGCCGAACAAAGCAGCTGGTGTCCCACAAAATGGACACATGTATAACCCTCATGGACTTAGTGCGAGTACATCTGCAATCAACAACTCAGCTGTAAACGTGAACGCCACTGGTATGATTCCTTCAGAGAGTATGCATCTATACACTGATCCAAGAAGCACATTGCATCTCAATCAAGGTATGTTATTGTGTACATGTGTGTAGACCATGTAGAATCGCTGTCAAGACTTGCCAGTTACAGTAGTAATACTTCTCCAAGGGTTGTGAATGCACCAGTAAAAAAGCAAACCTGTTTCACCAAACAACAAGAAAGGTACTGCTATCTGTACTTGCAATCAGTCATAATCGGGTTATTTTATACCTTACACGATTCACAAGTCTCACGCATGTGTTATTTGTCGATATATAGCTAACCAATGTATATATACAGATTATTTTGTACAATACTGAATTTCTGTTGTTCTTTCTCAATATTAGTGATTAATCAGTGCCCCCTTCTATCTTATTTAACATAGATTTAAGATTTTGCATCTCATCACATACTGCTATTGAATGCAACAAGTAAGATACGGCACACCTTCCCGTTTATTGTAGGGAATGGCCAAGGCGAGAGTCAGACCACGTTCATTGACCCAAGATTACGGGGTGTCCCCGCTGAGAGTATGCATCTGTTCGTGGATCCTCGAAGCGTCCAAAATGTATCAAATACCGGTGGAACTAACGCACACATGTACCAACAGGTATGCAAAGATGCACTAGCATATTAGCACAGTCGTACATAAATTTCTCTAGCAAACAATTGGAACCTTCATTTCCTTGTCACCCCTATTTCTCTTACTACATTCAATACAATACCGGCATCAAATAGTTGCGTGCACACTCAACTGACTTCATATCTTTTGTGAAATTCTAGGGATATATGCAACCGATTCAGTCCAACCAGACCCTGCAATTGGATCCCCATACTCAAGCGCAGCTTCAGTCTCAGATACTTCAAAACAATGTGGCAGCACAAAGACAGGGCGTGCCACCGCCTGCTGCGGGATACAATTCCATGTATGAATTGGGCTGCAATGATAATCTACCTGTAGATGATGTTCAAAAGCCAAAGTATGTTCTTTCTACAAAAACAGTTTAACACGTTTCGTCTTCCGAATTTGGCCTCAAGTACTATTTTGATACGGTATAGTCAAACCGTTTTTCTTTTCTTTAATATGTTGATATCATCCCGCCCGCAGGACCAATCCCTTATCGCCAAGGACCCGGAAACTATACTACAGTCTCGCGATTGTAGGGTTCCTCTTCTGGGTCATAGGCTTGGTGGGTGTATCGGGTACAACCTCTTATACCTCGGACCTGCTAGGAGGATACGACGTGTTGAGTAGAAACCACCTGCGAATGGCTTGGTTCAGGTATGACTTGTATTCCGCCTATCAAAAGCGGTAATTTAGAGCTGCGAAAAGCAACATGGGTGGCAGCTCTATGTTGATCCTCGTGAAGTTGTTTGTGTGATTCAAATACGAGTGCTTGTTTGTATAGTACATTTTAAGTCGCGTGAGATATTTTGTTGTTCAATCCATACTGTTGGAACGCTGCATACTTGAGTGCAGAAACACACATTACTAAAGCCAAAATGCTCCATATCTCATCCTTTCGATACATGGTGCTAAAAGAAAGGAGGCAATTTTGGCTGCGATTGACCCTACCATTCCTGTCTCTTTTACAGTTTCTGGCTGTTTGTATTCATCTTGTTTGTCACCATAATCGTCGTGTACCTCCGGGGTATGAACTCGTCGCGGGCCCTGCTGATGCCTGTGTGGACCATCACCATTCTGACCTTGATAATTGCCGCGGATTACGCACTTACGCTAAATGACCAGCTCACATTTGTGCCAACCAATGAGGGGGATCTGATCCAGGCGAACAACGCCTCCTACCTATCGACAACGAGCAATTATATTGTAGTGACCTATATAGGTGCTATATTAATGGTCATTCTAAGGTGTGTATCATTTCTATTCGTTTCGAGCTTCGAAAACCGAGTGTGTTCACTTTCGATGTCGCGATTCAGTATATCGTGCGAATTATATGAAGCAGCTGCAGGTCGTTTCCGTGCTCACTAACAGGTTTTAAATATGTTCTTGTCATTCAGCTACACGTTCCAAATCTTCCAATTTCATACAGCGCCTTCGTCTTGTTCTTGACGGCCTGCTATGACAGAACGCAATTCCTTCGATAAACCGGGTATAAAAGATCAGCCTACAGACAAAATTAGCACGACGGCGATTGATAGATCAACTCAGTAGTTTCCTTGTAAATATAAATTGAATTGTTGCATGTACTTCACTTTGGGGTGCTATCGACGTGAACAGTAAATGAAACCGAAGGTTTCTCGCCTGAAAATTTGGCGTAGTTATAAAATTAATATGTGCATATGAAGGTATTTAATATAGCTGCTGGTGTGGATAAATCTATCTATCTATCTCGCCATCGAAGATACATAATACTTGTATTTTACCACTTTTGTAAGGATGAACTTTTGTGCGAGTTTTTATGCGATCTAGTGTTATAGAACGATCAATTCGAATAGACACAGCCATCGAGTTTAAATAATTTCCTTTTTTACATGGATGTATATAACTGTACAATACGAATCGCCTGAAAAACGCGTACATGTCAATAGCTATACATTAATTCGTCCAGCATCCAAAAAAGAGTGTACAAATCGGACTAACAACAATACGCTTGCTAAGTGTTTTATTCTTGCTGTGTAAGCTCATATTTTCGTACCTCTGTGTAGTAGGATAAGAGCCGCTAAGCATGAATCTCAACAACAAGGAGGGACTTTCTCCTCGTGAAATGAAAGAATATGCCTCGAGCGTGCTTTAACCGGAACCAATTCCGCTTGGGAACGCCGGCGGATGTGTATTTTTTTATGTTTGGACGTATTCCACTACTGTTGTACACGAGAAGAAACTGCTCACATCCTACTCTCCATTATGCGCCATGCTCTGGAGTGTGTCATATACATATGCTTACGCTATATATGAATCATTTGACGTTATCAGCGAAAGCTCAGTAAACTACAGATTACATTTCTTCCGTCATATAGAAGTTCTGTGCTGGTCATATCTGTTGAGCTTGCACATGTACAATAGAGTGGAGACCAAGCATCAAAGTCCATATCAGCTGAATATATTGCAGTGAACATCTATCTCGTCCGTTGGCGAGTTCGGAGTATTCCTATATTACCTATATTACGTGATGCGCCTTTCCTAAGCGCTTAGTATCGTCTGAGACCGGAACACACTTTGCTCGCTGCCCAAAAGAAATCATATTTTAAGTGCTCCGTCTTCTGCATTTCCCCTGTTCTACGTCCTGGTCACCTGGCATTCGGGGAAATATCCCGTACCTCCAGGAATTCTTCATCAAGCTGGTTGTTATCATATACGACCATTTCCGTACGGTGATGCGCAATATCGTCCAGAATATAGCGTATGGTAGTTGTGTTAAGCGTATTCTCCTCGATTGCAGGGTGGCTAGAGCGATCATACAAACGTGCGGAGTGTGTTAAAGAGTGCACATTTCGGCTCTCGTCGAAGGTCACGCGATGATTAATCATTGTTAATCCTGCTATAGTATTGTGTGATGCCTTATAAACGCCGCTGCGCGTTTAAAGAAGCAAATTAAGCTGCACTGCTGCAGTATATGTAGTTTTATTTTTAATTAGGCATAAATGGTGTTCACCCCACCATACTGCGTGTGTACATGACGTCTAAATGATGGTACATACCTTTTTTTTTTAACCACCAAAAACCGAGAGGTTTGTAGTGTGTAGGATGTTTTTGGTGTACTGATCAGTGTCTACAGTCTACACTGTCTACTAGTCTGACTACTGACAAGTAATAACTCGCATACATCAGCGCAGGTGTCTTATCTTGTGGCGATCAATCAGATTTCCGCAGCAGTGCACACCGGTTTTGTGTTCTAAATCGGCCGGATCTCAATTAGTGTTCGCCAATCAAACAGATCATAAAGTTTAAAAAAATATTATAGAGCGCATCCATACGCCGTCGATTTGGTCCCGTGGTTCGAGAGGCTCATGACTCCTCTCTCTATCAGAGCGAGAGAGAGTCTCAAAATCTACAACCCGATAACAGAGATCAACCAAAAATTCGTTAACGCTTATTTATAAACTTTAAAAAAAAATCAAGGTTAAATGACCAAGATCGCCCTATTTTAGAATTAAGAATGGGTAGTATTGGGTACTGTACCCTCTGGTCCTGTACTATAGCCTAGAGTAGGGCCTAGAGTCTCGCTCTAGAGAGATGGTCTAGGTAGAAAATCTTGAAAGCTCTGAACTTGAGGAGTCGAAACATGCACCTGTAGCAACAATCGTAGGGCCGCTAAGGTATAAACATTTAAACGTATAGAGGTTGGCCACGACTCCTGCGAGCCACTCTAACTTGTGAAGACTGAAGTTAAATCAACTATATTCTAGTTTTTACCCAACAACTGATTATTTAAAATACAACCTCCTCAACTCCTCAAGACCTCAACTCTCAAGTCCTCAACTGACTTTTTGTATTTACTGTACTACATACATATCAGTATTTATTATTCATACTGTCTCATTTGTAGCCTCCTAAATTTTGAAAAAAAAATTAAATTAAAAAAAACATAAAAAAATCAAAATACCATGGAAACGCTTGGTTTTTAATAATATTAACTTAAAAACATAGCCCTCTAAAATGTATATTTTAGAGGGCTATGACTAAAAACATTAATAGAAAAATAAATATAAATAGTATTATTTTTAGCCCTGAGTCCAGTCTCTCAGACTCTCGGTCGAGAACTAGAGACTCGAGTGTCGAGGCTCGAGGCCGAGGGTCTGTCGGGAAATGTTTTTGTCATTATTTTTTTTGTCACACAACAAAGAGAGAGCGAGGGACTATTTACCCCAGATGTCCCTAGAGTAAAATACTAAAAACGGTTTGTTCCGTTTTCGTCCTAGAAACGGTCAAGTACACTCAAGGCAATACGTTACGGATTGGGGTGGGGGTGTTGGGGGGGGGGGGAATTGTGTTTAAATAGTGGGAATCGTTTTTCGTTCCCATCGGAATAGTAACGAATTACTATATTTAGTCAAAACGGAGTGATATAAAATCATTAACGAAGCATTGAATAGAGTTGGTATGTACGTATTTACATCGGGACTTCCTATGTACACAGTTCCCATTTCCAAGCTTTACGCTTTCAGACTTTCAGTGATATCAATATATAACTGGCATGTGATCTATTTGATTTATACACGTTTAGACAGGGGGAAAGACCACGCTGGACTGCTAGCAGTCACAAACAAAAGGGCAATGGCCTTCGAATCGGAAAAGCGTCCAGGGTGCGTCGGTATCCATGCTATAGAGTGCTACTTCCCCAGAACGTGTGTCACGCAGAGTCAACTAGGTATTGTTACCACAGTTGTAGGTATTGCATGCTCGCAAGTGTGTTCAACATATATCATCCACACATAATGACTCCATTGACGAGATGCTTGTAACGCAAGGATACCTGAGGAGTGAATAGATTATTCTAACTTCTGGTGAACAACTGTACTGAATTTGGTATATATGTACTTATATAAGCACGAACGCCGCGATGTAAGCACCAATTCTGAAGATATTTTGTCTTTGGTGTTGAAAATAGTGTTATCAATTCACATAAATTCACAAAAATCTACATCAAAATCGGAAACACCCAAAATATTGTTTATTAACTTATGAATATATAAACATCCCAATACATTCGTGTTGGTCTCTCTAACCGGGCACAATACTTGCAATACACGAATAATTTATATGGTTACATTCACGAATATCAGATATATACACAAAATTTTAATAATTCATTTATGTATTAACAGAATTCTATATGAAACC